TGGACACGCGCCCTAATTTGTTCATTGTTGTGGTTATGTCATGTATTCGTGCTGTTCTAATTTGGATTTCATTCTGTTGTGAAACCTTTATTTTTCACGTTTTTACCCTCTGGGTGACTACAAATGATATTCTATATGCTCAAAACAGAGCACAAGAAATTCTGGAGTTTTAGATTGTTACCTCTATCAACATATTGCTATATACGTCGTCACAGAGAGTTGAAAGCTTGAAAATTAATGGCAACTTTTTTGGCAACTTTTGCCACTTTTCGTGGCAACTTTTGGCAACTTTTGGACAACAAAATGGCAACAAATGCAGATGCTAGCATTATGCAGCTGCCTAAAATGGGATGGCCACCATTTAATGCCCTCACCCCCACCCCCAGCTCATATTATGTTCTTGTTGGCTTGCTCCGAAAGTTAAAGATTATATGTAGACTTTCGATGAAAGGGACGATCGGTACATTAACATCAGCTGAAAGTCATTGGCCTACTACCTCGACCTTTGCGAGTGCGAGGGGTTCCAAACTGCAGAACTTCGTTTTCTTTTCGGCATGGTTAGTCGCTATCCAGATGTAGATATAGCTTCTAGTCTAAGACCCGTTGACGTTGTTCCCAGTAGCAAGAACAAGAATTTGACAAAGGAGTCCGGAAAAAGCAATGGTGGGCATCAAACCAAAGGATCACAGTCGAATGTATACGGGTCGCACACGTTAAAATAGTGCTCAGTATTGCGCGACAATGCGCGATAGTATCGAACGGAAGTACGACTTGAAATAAACAAAGCTGGAGGATTTTCTAAATTTACAGAGACAGAAGCGTCGGCCTACAAAAGCGATCGGCGAAATAAAGAAAATTAGCTTTTTGCAGCAAAACTGTCTCATAACTGAAAAAACGAAGGGCGTCATGATCTGGAGAATATTTTAAAGAATCTTTAGGCGAAAACCGTATGTCGATCGATGCAGCCAAAAAAACCCACGTTTGAATAGCAAAATTTGGCCTCCACAAATAGATAACAGATGACAATTGACCTCATTAGAAATGGTTAACGGAGAACCATGTACGTACAATAATTTAACCTGCATTGAACGAAGCATATTTCATAAATATTTTTCTAACTCGTTATTCCCCAGGTTCGCAGATAGCCTGCCTCGGAATCATACTATGACATACTGTGAATATCTTCAAAGCATCTTTTGACTTGGGAGTGAATACGACTTGGTGACCATTATTCCTTATCGTCATTGTCTACATAAGCTGAAAACAGGATATTCTAAAACAGAAAGGTCTCACTAGATAGTGACAAACATGGCAGAGGCTACGTTAATCGTTTTCCAAATGCAAGTGATGGTGGTTATTATTATTATAGGAATTCTTGCAGCCAATATTTTTCTGCTGTTCACGTTTCTCCGGAAAGGACGGCTTCTTCAGAGTCAACGTAAATTCCTAGTTATGACCCTCGCTGTGGGTGACATTTTCCTGGCCTTGTTTTCCTTGGTTATCTTAGCTCGTCGGCTTTATGAACAAGATTTCGACATCTCGTGCACTACATTATTGGTTTCTACAATGTATTCAAATTGTTTCCTCCCATTTGTGTATGGGGTTGGTATAATTGTTCTCTGTGGGGAACTCGGTCTGCGGAAAAAACTTCGCTCTTTGATTTCCAATCCTTACGTATCGTCCATACTGGTGGCCGGGGTACCTTGGATTGCTGGACTCATCCTGATATTGCCCTTATATGTAGCTGGTTTTGATAATGTGAGCTGTTTGTATGACGATTCCATGACAGTTGTTCGGGTTAGAGCTATTTATGTCGTTGGCAGTGTTCTTCCATCAGCTCTGGCTGTCATCTTTGCTGTCATAATCAGCAGTAGGAAAGCTGATACCACGTCTGAGTATTACGACTCTCCTCAATCAGACGGTATCTTACTGAGTCAGGAAGTGACGCCACATATCGATGAAGGATACCCACATCAGTCAAATGAACTAGAACCCCCACAACATCAGTACTATCCAGAACACCCACAACATCAGTACTATCCAGAACACCCACAACATCAGTACTATCCAGAACATCCACAACAGCAGTACTATCCCGAACCCCCACAACAGCAGTACTATCCAGAACACCCACAACAGCAGTACTATCCCGGACCCCCACAACAGCAGTACTATCCAGAACCCCCACAACAGCAGTACTATCCAGAACCCCCACAACAGCAGTACTATCCAGAACACCCACAAGAGCCAGATCAACAAGGAACCCCACAACAGCAGTACTACCCAGAACACCCTCAACAGCAGTACTACTACCGTGCCTCTCAGCCATCTGCTTACGTGCGCTTACCACAAGACCCTGGTCCCAGACAACCCGCCTACCCCCCACAACAGATGGCCACTACACAAGTTGTGATCCAAACATCAGTGAGCTGGACACAGCCACCCTCAGATCAACAAGTGATACACCCGGGCATGAATGGGCAAAGTACCTTGGTCAAAGTTGCTGTTTTATACGCTATTTTGTCATTGCCTTTTGCTCTCTTTACAATTACTTTTGCGCCGAGCGATGTCGTTTTTAACGAAAATTTCTCAATTTTGTCACTAAAATTGATGTGGATGTTTTATCTCCGCTCCATCGTGACCCCTTTAGTTTGGATAAAAGATAAGTAAAAAACATTTGCTTGAAAAGAAAGCAGAGACGGATTTCAAAAGTTGTCAGTCGCAGTTGTTCAGTTAGTTATTAACCCAAAAAACTTATAGAAGCTGATAACTGCTTCATTCCGACTGAGGTATAACGTTTTCAAAAGATTTTTTTCAGCAGTGTGCCCTGAAGATGGACTAAGGTTATGTAACGGTACTATAATGTCTTTCTAGTGTTTACATCACAGCAAAAGACAACAAAATCTGTCAATTTTGTTGTTCCAGTTCCAGGTAGAAACTAACAGTATAACCAACTGTAATTCCTGATGGAGGCGCATTCACACCACACACCTGCGTCCGTCTGTTCGTGTAACGACCGATAGCTGTCTGGGGTATCTCGTGTTCATATCGCACCATGTGTTCGTTGATTGGAGTGCCTTTTTGGTCTGAAGCAAACTAACTGGCTTATTTTGTTGTTGTAATTTCTCGGGAAATGTTATTAATATTATATTACATTTGGAAATGTTTTGGTTCTAAAACATTCAACCAGGAGTAGGAATTTGACGTGACATTAACCTTTTCAATAAAAATAAAATGTGTTAAAAATTAGGCTGGCTGAACTTGTTATACTACAAAGGACTTGACTGAAGAAATGGTATTATGGTTGCTGTAAGGACGCCTTTCCACCAAAGTAGAAAAATTTCATTTTCAGTCTGTTTGTTTTTTTCCGTGAGGAGGAGGCTGTTCGGTCAGTTCGTTTCCAGCATGCGTGTCCACCAACAAATTGGCAGTTCAGAAGCGACCTGACTACATTCTAGGCCTACTGGCCAACTTTATTCCCGGATGTTTGCCCTAGACATTGAGTCTTAAATGAAATTGTATTTCATTTTTTTTCCATCCCTTTTCGTGTCTTCAATATTTTTTCCCAACCGTTCTCAAACTACAAGACCTGACGGTGTAACAAATTAACACGCTAAATTATAGTAAGAGTAAGATAGGCTTTGCGAGGCGGCCCACAGTCAAATGTGCCGTTGTCCACACAACTTTATCAACACGTTACAAAGTGTGTATTTCTTCGTACCAGCGACGTGTATAAAAAAGGATTATCGTGTTCTTGCTTTCGAGTGAAACCATTGCCGTGACCAACGTGACTAGGCCACCAGCACACGGAGTCATTTCTCGATCGGGCTATATAGTCATGAGGTCAGTGAACGTAAGCGGGAATAAGGAATGAACGGGTTAAAAATACATTTTGAATGAACTTAGTTGAATTTTTAATATGCATTTCAACCATGTGGTCTGTGCGGAGACTGTCAATTTTGAAGCACTGATTACAAATATGACATTACATTTGTAAAAATCCGAACTAAAACATTGGGTTTGGTTTTCAAAGTTCTGGCTGGGCCTATGATTGACGAGTCTCCTCACGGCCCGACTAAAATGCGGAATCCTGCATTCCGACCGGTACGTCTTTTGTCGGGAGTTGTCGGTTTATTTTGGTGGACATATCCAGATCCAAAATGCGTTTTCACTGATTACTTAAGTGCTCCAATTAATCTACCCGGTAGCGACTTCTTGAGAAAAGGACGAGTTACGTTCGAGCAGTTTCTGATTCGGTGGACACGCCGCCTAAAGCGAACTAGACGGTGGGTTTTAATTCCCTTCAACGAGCGGACACAGGACTTTGTTTTAGCAAGGGTTTTACAGCACTTCAACACAATTAGGTCATATAAGTGGAAGATTAGAGGTGTCACAAAAGAGTAACGAACAAAAATGAGAAATTAGGAGAAATTAGGACGATAGCTGTTTCACGTGAAAGATGGAGCAAACCACACCAAAGCACCCACCAACCACACGCGCAGTACTTCGGTCTGAACACTAACATGTGAGAAGAATTGACCTGTCGATCCGTGCGACGGAAGGGTGTGGACGGACGCAGATGTTTGGTCTGAATGCGCAGACAGAAACAGGATGTCGTCCCCATTTTTAAAAGTAAAGTTGGTGGCGTCGATGGTCTAGTGGTTTGGCAAGAGGACCCGTAATCATGAGGTTTCGGGTTCGGGGGTTCGAGGGTCTGCTCGGTCCGGCATTTTCTCCTTGGGAAAGGCACTTTAAACGAATTTTTCTTTTATTAACTTGGTCCTTTCGGAAATGGACGTTAACCTCGGAGGTACCGTCTCTTAAATAACCCAGAAGTGTTGATAGGGGCGTTAAACAAAGATACCTTTTCACCGTGTTCAAAAGTAAAGTTTGAAGACGCTTCAGGCATCTTTAGGCCACGGATTAAGTCTTGAATATTTGTTTGTTTTATCTGAGCACGACAGTGAGATACAACCAGGAACAGCACAGCAAAGGTATAGTGTGCACTCTGCTTTAAAACAGCTGCACCCCGGCGATATAGATCTAATGCAGTCTCACAGATGAACACATGAGTGTATCGTATGACAGAACTCGAGGCAAAAGTGAGGGTAGTTAGCTCCGAGGACACAAGCGGATAGTTAAGAAGGAGAATAGGCACAACAATAATAAAAGGAAAGAAAAATTGACAGAGGAATAATATTAAATCAACACACCAAGTGTGTAAAATCGTTAGAATGTACCATGATAAAGTGTTAACGATAACTTCTTTGCCTTATTTCCACGGGTTTTTTTAAAGTTCGATTATGGTGTGACGAGATGACCAGAGAAAATCGTCTCAGTTTTCGTACGATGCGATTATTTTAAGAAGACCTCGAGGTCTATTATACTATACGTTTTCACCAAGAAACAGAAGTAATGTAATATATATATCAACAAGGAACCCCACAATATATATATATAATATATATATCTATATATCTACTCTGTTGAGGACAATGCATTGCCACACTAGGAATTCCTCAATATTTTATAACCTGCAGTAAGAATCGTACATAGTAAGTGCTTAAACATTTTTCTGTAGCCTATTCTCCTTTTAGTGTACCGTATTTGGCTAAAATAGGACCAGATTATAATGCTTTGTAACATGACAGCACTTTAGACAACAGTGTGTATTGCTTATACCTTTTATAGCCTATAAGTGTTTTGAGTAATGTATTGTATACCTTTATTTATTCGGTTTTTAATAAGGAAGAAATTTTGCTTTTTTATTGTTTAAAAATGTTTCATTGTTACATTTTCTAGATTCTTCTCTCTCTCTCTCTCTCTCTCTCTCTCTCTCTCTCTCTCTCTCTCTCTCTCTCTCTCTCTCTCTCT